TGCTGTAGCTTAATATCTGGGGACGGTACGATCTTGCTCAATAACCTGGTCCTGATACCACTATCAGAGTGTGTCTGGAAACCGCAAATGAAAATCAGTCACTTGAACTCGTCTTCTGTCATAGTGGACAGTTTGAATTGGTCACACTCGAAAGTGACTACCGGCATAGGCGATGAAATCTTCACCATCCTGTTTGGCAAGTTTCATGCATTAGCATCGGGTATTAAACAAGGAAGAACCTTCACCGAAAATTTCGTCAAAAGTGGGATCCCTGGAGTCCTTTGGCAGGATAAAATATGGATACCTTGTGTGCTCAGTTGCACCAAGCTTGCTCGGTAACAGCCTTACTTGCCATGCATCTTCTTTGTGCTTCAGCTCGATTTTGAAAATGTCATCATGTCTTTGAACCACGATTCAAAAATCAGCCGAGCATCAGGCTCATAGTGGAACTCCGTGATGCTAATGCAATTGTTTCGACTGCATTTTCTTCCGCGACAGGAATTGATGACTTTATGCTGAATTTCCGCATAAAATTTTCCATTATTCGCATCTGCGCCGCCTCAAACTGTGTTTGCTGTTTCAAATTCTTGTTTCAAATTCTTGTGTTTGCTGTTGTTGCAAGATTGCCTTTAATCCTTCTGCTTTTACCGACATGTTGCGTGTGTTGCCGTTGTCAAATCTGTTGTATCAGACATTGCTATAGTACATCGCAGGCCAATCCCCAGCAATGTAGAACGAGCAGCGCAAGAACAACAGTTCTAAGAACAGAACGTAAACCAAAAACGCGTAAAGTATTCACACGACACTAGCCGAATGCGCGTTCGATTATGGGTACTGAGTTCAAATCAGTACTGGTCTGCTGTTCAATATCTTTCTGGTGCGTTAGACATCGACCGGTTTGATCTTGGGCTTAGCTGGTTGTGGGTTTTGGGGCACCTGATTGAGTGAACGCAATTCACATGCCCCGAGAAACTGTACCCTCCTAACACCTGGTCCCCGTTAGTATCGTATCACCGGAAACCAGGCTGGTTTCCGTTCCTCTCCAAATGTTAGGGCATAGACCCATCTCCAGATGATCGACTATGGTGCTTTTTCTTTACTTAAAAGCCGCCTTCGACTCTGTCGATAGCACCAGCTTGTGCCACTGCCTACTCGTTAAATCGGTACCAGCTAAACGTTTTGCCATTTTGAAGCCTCTTTACTGTGCCCCTCTCCGAAGCCGGGCAAAAGTCCACGGCAAGCGTTCTTCTGAGTTCCCCTCGACAAGTAGGGTTTGACATTGTTTTCTTAAGTCCCGTTTCATCTTCAGCTTTGTGATCGAAATAATCACGAATGACCCTGTTCGTTTAGACTCCTCTGGAGTGGAAGTTCTGCCGGGTGACTGACTGACAAACCTGGGTTGTGTGGAGGACATGGTTCTCCTTGTGTCTGACGCATTGGTTATGCAAGCATTACTGGATAGACTGATGCGTAGCGCTGCACGCTTCGTCATGTGATTTGCCTATTCAAGGTGCAAAGTATTGCTGTGGGATTGGACCGATAGACCACGGCTCTGGCTATCAGCGAACAACTACTGGAGGTGGTGCCTCGGTTCACTTATCTTGGTCGCTGTGTCGCCTCTGGTGGTCGCATAATTGAGGAAGTTACTTCGCGTATCAGCTATTACCTGTGGTTTTTCAGAGGCTCAACTATCTATGGAGACGTTGAGATATCAGTCTGTCGGTGCAAGATAGTGTGTATTAGGCTGCGGTATGGCCGGTGTTACTGTATGGGTCGGAAACTTGTTCAATTTGCAGGAAAGATATTCCATTCTTGCCCGTGTTTGACTACCCGTGCTTGCGGTGTATTGCTCATATCTGGTTGGAACATTGGTTGAGCAACACTGATGTCCGCCACTTGGCTTTTGGCAATAAGCCGTATGGAATCTCACCGGAATGCTTGCTGAATCTTAATCGTTTACGTTTGTTGGGAGATTTTCTCCGAATGTCCAGTGTGCGGCTTACTTGGCGTGCATTATATGCCATGGTTGCATCAAGCCGGGCGAAACCGGGAGATGGCCATTTGATGACGTGGCGTAAGTGGCATGAAGTTGAGCGAGAGTATTGGTCAGGCTTGTGCGCTCGCCACACCAGTGGTTGGAAATCTTGCAGTCACGCATTCGGTTTCTTGTCCCTAGCTCTTGCTATTTCTTTCATCTTTTCTTTTTCCGAATTTTCTATTGCATTCTGTTCGCATTCAGCTTTTCCACGCCATCGTTGTTAATGTGTATTTTACGACGTGGGTCGTGACAACAGGATCCACCACGATTCGTTGCCCAGACCTTAAGTACTTAACTGAATTGCTTGCGTGGCGAATTCTAACGTCGATTTGATCCTTCGTATAACAGAATGATCAGTCCCCTCCTTGATTTGACGGTCACTGCGGATTATCTGCGCTAACGTACGTTAGAGTCTGGTAGACATATGACTTAACGCCGCCCTAATTTCTTGCATTGATCTCTTTTAAATACTATCTTCTTTTACTCACTGTCCACCTTTTGGTTTAATCAAACTACTTACAATGTTTATAAGTAGACATACGCGATTGAAACATTTGCATTCCCATAACACCACAACGGTTAACCCGCTCGTCTCATTCGGAGGCATTTTGTCATCCTTGGCGTATGAGAACTGACCTTGGTTTTGCTGTGTAAGAACGATTCAATTCCATTTGTAGTCGTGCGCACGACGGTCCCAAGTGGTCCTCGATTACCTCACCAGTCTGCTATTAGTACCACCCGGACGATCCTCTGGTTCAGTGGGCTAAAGGAAGCTTTTGTGCCAGAAGCGACACGTTGTGCACAAACTGTATCAGCCAGTTGTATACTAAGTTTCTGAAATCACGATATTGGCACTTTTCCACTTGTATGAAGCCGACATCAAGTCGTCGTTGCTCTTTGGTTGCTCACATATTGTCTTTTATTATTCTCTCCCTTTGCACACAACTGTAAATTATTCGCCGTATCTTCGCATTTCCATTCCTCCGTCATCAATATGGTTCTTTTGTGCCTTGATATATGCGCATCATTGTTGCAGATTACCCAAATTATCCACCTGTTTTATCTGCGTGGTTGATCTTCCTTTATTCGCTTTCTGTCTCCCAATCCAGACGTACGCCCCCATACATGTGACCGTTGTGGTAAATCGTTTACACTGAAGAACAATTTGCAAAGACACATCAGTGCTGTTCATTTCGGTGAGTTAGTGGTGTGCCGTTGTCGATAGTTTCACTCGTTTTCAGCGGAATAAACATTGCGATATTTTAACCATGAGCCATAATGCATAGTGTGTCTATTTCTTATGCTTCTTCACCGCATGACATGAATCACATGTGTTGCGCGAAACGCTTGCTCTGTCTAAACCCATTACTTTTTATTCCATATGTCCTGGCTCATTTTCTATTTGTTTTATGTTTTGCTTCCCTCATTTCCGTTGCTCACTGTTTCATATTCTTTGACTATTACTTACTCCCATTCAATATCACGTTTACGCTTGATGGTTTATGCATTTCTTTTATTTTCCTTCTTTTCTTCTGCACTGCCGCACATTTTCCGCCCAATTTGCGTGTGTATTTCCTTTCGTGTTATTTGTTTGCAGTTTGATAACCCTATTGTGACTACGATTTTGTGAATATTGCTACGCTGCCTACTTATCGTATAGCCGCCAACTGTATTAGACTCTCTCCAGGAGATATTTGGTCATTGATTGAATGAACGCTTCCATGGTTCTCGTGCCTGTGCTAAGTTCAATTAATGATCCAATGCATCCAGTGTTGGACGAGCTGCCGTCTTGTATACGGCTTCTATTCGTGCTTTTACAATTTGAAGTACGTGGTTGCTGCTACTATACTTGTTGAAGGGGTGTGGGTGGGCTCCGCTGATGAAACGTGGCCCCCATTCCATTGCCTCCCGGTCTTGTTCCCTAGGACTTACACCGGATGAAACTGTGACTAGTGCGACGCGAATTACCCAGTGTAGCTCCGTAGGTGCAGGTGTCTTGTTGCTATCCTATGGAGGACGCGTGGACAGTCCACTCCGCAGAATGATGCCTCAACTCGTCCGGTCAGTGATTTGCTTACTGGTTATCTAACAATAGTTTATAGCGGTTATTAAATCGTATGCTTTACTAGTTCCGCAGAATTGTTCGGGTGAGAATTTTACAATGACAATCAGGTTCGGTAAATTAACCCACGCGATGCACTACTGACCAACTTGTTTGGAATAGCACTTGTGTGATTTTCCTGCCTTGATTTTTGTAGTTTATGACACTGTCCGCCGTTTGTTGTGCACTAGTGCGATAATCTGATGGTCTTTGGTTGCATCATATGGTATGAATGCGTCTGCATAACACTGACGTGTTTTCAAGTTGTGATAAGGTGGGAGCAATAATTACATTCGTGTGTGGGAGCTCCTGTGATGTGATAGTCGACGGGAGAAAATGTCTAACGGACATTCCAGTCGGCTGGGTTATGTGGTCAGCTTAAACTTATAACCTCAGCCTTGCGTATTGGCTACATTTCAAAAGATGATTCCTGAGTTGGGTTTTTTTGTATCTGGTACCCCGTTTTGGAATTGGCCCCGTAGATGGCGATAACGTTCGTTATACATTTTTCGACTTTTCAGCCTGATCGTATAGAAATGTCGGAGCAATCCTTTGACTTTCTTTGTCGCTTTGCGTTGTGCATTATCCAGTGCGTTGAGGTGTTGCTTCTCTTACGATTGCCATGCATGGATAGAGTACTCCGCACGCGTCCTCAAGTACGCGCCCAATATTTTCCGAAACTCTGAGACTTCGAACTACCCGAACGCTTTGCGAAAGTTTTCGAAGTGATAATTTGCTTTCTTTGGTGCCTTTTCAGCCTACCTCAAACAACCAAGATCATTTTCCGCGAGTGCGCCGTGATCACACTTTCGAGAAGCCCCGCTGTAGAATTTATCGAAGGCGCGAGTGCTCCGAAAGCTTATGCTCATAATTTTTACTCGGGACGTTGCACTACAGCACTTTCGACGGACTATGTGTACGCTTTATACGGGTCATTTTGTACGACTGTGTGATTTTCCAATGTAGTTATAGCACATCATGTCTTTAGATCCTTGGCAGATAGTAGGCTTTTTAACAGCACCCTCGCGAAATCCTTTTTAAAAATCCCGAGCTTCCGCATTTTCGTGTCCTGCATTTCGTTAAGATATCGTTGTACAATATTCTTAACGGATCAGCTGATGATCTCTTTCCACCCGCTTGAGCGAATGTCGTCTGCGACAGGCAATCTGTACTCGCGCAATAAAAACGGCCGCTTCAATACATCTGTCGTTATAAAGGATAAGTACTTAAGTCCTGATAGCGGCATGATCTACGTATGCAAGATGTAAGATTCATACACACTTTGGAAAGTACAACTAAATTGTTGTTCATTAAAGTTGTCTGCCTTTTGTTCCCTTTGTGCCAAGTCGCACGCTGTGTGCAGAGCTAGAATCCCGCACTTAACCCGGCGCCGTTTTTTTACGTGTCTATATAGCTGCTTGGAATTAGAGCAACATTTGTTTACCAGATCTTGTTTGTTCTTTGCTTTATCTTCCTGGACACCTTTGATGCAGTGGTTCCTTTGTGTTGCGTAAACATCCCAGGTGTCCTCGCTCGGTGGGTCATGGCAAGTCCTTCAATGCCATGTATTTGCGTGTCATGCTCCTTACGAATGACTACACTTTTTTAGGTTGGTAGATTTTGGTTTCAGATGTGCTTCTCGCGCTTAGATCTCCAAACTTTGTTTAGGTGTCTGTGTAGCAACTGGGGACTGGGGCGGAACGTCTTGTTCATACTTTACTTCATCCTTCCGAATGAGTTTGCCGCGACATTTTTTGTTGTGTAGATATTCTAGATGTCCTAACTCGCACAGCTAATCTGGGTAAGCTCAACGGAGATTTCCAATCCCATACCTTTACGACATCATTGACGAGCGTTTGATTTTGCTTTCTGATGTGTTTTCCACAAGGCTGTGGAATCTCTTGACAAATTCCTCCCAGGCAACCTCAGGGACCATTCGGCTGGGAAACGTCAGGTTGTTGCACCTATGAGGTCGGACAGGTTATTATAGTTGCTCACGACATGAGATTCCTCGGTACATTCCTGTTAGTATTCTACGTAGCACACGTACCGGAACAGTGGTGTCGCGTGATTGCTGCGGCCCAAAGGGGTGCACTTTGTTACTACGTCGTTGGTGAAAACGGAGTCCAAGATGACCGCGTTATCTTCTAAAACGCGGTGGAGAAGTGATATGACTGTACAGCGGTGAACTAGCGATTAACTGTCGCAATTTCTGGATGTTGGTTAGAGCCCCGTACCAGGAAAGCATAGATTTAAGGTCGTGCCAGTATCTTCTTCATAGCCGAGTCTGGTCCATTACTAAGATGGACAATGATGGGCGTCATGTGATAGCCCCTAAGCATATACTGCAACTTCAACATTGTATGCGTTATCCTAACGAGTCTACGGTTTGAATCCCTGAGTCGTTTACGCAGTCGATTTTTAGGTCGGTACGGTAGTAGAGAATTGTATCGCCCCTCCTACTGAGTTGGTCGTTGCTCAAGAGTGACCTACCGGGTAGTGAGATCTCAACGTCTGTAATCACGTCGGTCAGCTATGTCCCGGTTGAAATAATGAGGTTCCAAGACATTTAGGCTTACTGAGGTTGACGCGTGGCCAATTTGCTGAGGAGACCTTGTGCGTTTGCATGCAAACACGCAGATGTTTCCCGCGAATTTACGCCAAACTTTGTTAGTTACCGGCTAACAGTTGTTTCTTGGATGTATTTCAATCCTACCGCTCGGGGCCGTTTCAAACTGTTGCACAGAAAGAATCCATTACCTAATCCTTAGAGAAGTGGTTTGAGGCTGATTGCCTGTTTATTCTTCTTCGAACGGTTAGGGATTTGCAGCGCGTTTCGGTTCATAAGTGCAGGCAACTGGTCTGGTGACAAACTCCTGCTGCTTTTGTCTTCCCTCAGCCACTAGTGGTCTGGCTTCGTTTTCCTACCTATTTCCGATGTCAGTTTAAAGCATAACTTGTGGTAACTTTTCGCTACGCTTTCAACTATTTGTTTGGAGTGAAGTCGAACTTTCAACACCCTTTAGCAATATACTGTAATTGGGTAATATTAGTAACCTCGAGCTTTGTTTGGCAATCATATCGCCGAGTGAGAGAAAGCTACGTGGAGGTGACGTCATTCGGAAGTCATGAGCTCGGGTTTTGGACTCCGCGGAAGATTGTATTTCGGGAACACCATGGGTAAGCATTGTTCTTTTGTCGGTGATATTTTCTTGGGTATTGCGGACGCTGATTTCAGGAGATGTCGCGTAATGTACAAGCATGTCGTGATGAATCACGAAGACGGTAAACTGACAAGAGAACGGCCTCCGCTCATTCACCTGACTGAAATGTAGTGGTTTACTCTGGTGAACTGAGTTTCACTGGTGTACCATGCGAAACAAACTAACCTGTATAGTCTCAATTCCCATTGGTTGTTATAAGGATTCCTATAGTTTCAGGTTGTCCAGTTCCTTTTTATAGGGTTCGCTCCTGACTAAGGTGCGTTAGAGTGTATTATCTTCATGGAGTTCTACATCTTTCTGGTATTCATATTTCTGCATGAGGGAATGGTTTCTTCTTTTGGAGACGTGGTCGCCGGCATTCTCGGAATCGCATTGATATTCATGCCATTTCTGTCACTGCTTTGGGTATTTGCAGAAGCGATCGCTAACTTTGCCTTGGGTCCCAATGCGGCGACGACGACAGACATGTATGTTCTCAGGCTTTTGGATTATCATGTGCCACAAACGCATCCCCGGGAAAAATCACTCTATGCACCATTGAGGTTTCCGGGGTTGGCAAACTCTGGTTGTTCGCATTTTGCTCATTCTCATGGTTGGAGTAGCTGGCTCTGCGCTGTTAACTATGCGCTACTCTTTTTCAAGCTTGAGCTTAAATTTAGGCAAGAGAATTGTGTTCTGCTGCATCTGGTTCCGATGCGACTGTTATAGCAACCGGTGCACGCTGCACAGTGGCTGTCAGTTTGTCACCTTTCTCTGCCAACACGTCCATGCATTCTACGATTGGGTAGATCATGTCCTATGTGCCGAACCAAATGGAATCTAATTTTCAATGTCGTTCTTTTACTTCCGATTTGCATAAATTTACGCCCTTTGGGTGAGATATGTTGCTGCGGTTATAACCAGTTTTTCGGATTCGAATAGTCGTGGCGCACGATTTTGAGTCGCAAACCATTTGTCCGGGGCTGAGCGGAGTGTGTACATCTTGTGCTCCTTGTTGCTTTGTTACGAACCATGCCGTTGCGTCAGTCACTGGGGCAAATTACGATCTGCTTCTCTTTGACAGTGTTTAGCGCAATGTGCTTGTTGGGACAAGCACACATTTCGTTTCGACATGTGTTACAGATAAGACCGCAGTTGCGAACAAAACTGACGTAGATCAGCTCATGATAATACTGTTGTAGGCAGTGGCGCTTGGCTGTCGATCTGGCCGGGCTTCGGCATGGTGGCAAGTTGCGTGCTGATAAGCGTGTTATGCTTAACGCTCGTTTGAAGAGTGTTCTGCTGCTGTCTGATAAACGAGCTCCGGCTATTAAACAGAATGTCTGATTCTTGTGGTATAGGAATCGTTGGATAGTACTAAGTGCACTCTTTTGAAATATTGTTAGGCACTCGAAACATGAGCTTCATATGCGCGTGAATTTCCTCATAAGTCCTGCTGAAATTGCAGCAACAGATGTGACCGTGGTCTGGGCTAGATAATCATGTAGTGGTAGATCCACTGGATTTTTTATACACTTTAGCTAGAGGTGTAAAGCACCTCAGCTACTGTGCCGCAGTACATAAAAGAAAATAAATACAACAGTTGCCTGCCAGCTGAGCTACCAGCAATGGACGGGCATCGTTCCGGAAAGCTACCAGCCGGCTACTAGACAACAAGAAAAATTATTATTTAAATTATACTATGCTACGAAATGAGATCGTGGTTGGAGGCGGAGGCTAAACGGAATGCGGAGGGACAAAGAAACTCACAGCAGGAATGCCATTAAAATAGGCTCCTAGCCATGTCAGCAAGTGTATCTAGCCAAGCGTGTTCATCGTCTTTTGGACCCCAACCAGGGAGCCGTCAAGCTCCAACCGAGGCCAGCTCCGAAGTGAGAGCCTTCATTCCTCTCGACCGAGTCATCAGTTGGCCATCCCTCCTCTTCTTCCATCCACACCCCCGGTGAGCAAACAACCCACGTCGCAGAAGTCGGTGGGCTGGCATGCGCAACACGTGACTGAGCCATCATAAGCGGATGCGTGAAATGATGGTGTTGAGTGGTTCAGTTCCTCTTCCTGCTGGATAGCACAGGTTAGACCGAGCTGAATACGCGTAAGCGCCCAGTATTGTGGGCAGTACATGCAAATAGAGAGGGGCGTCGAATCAGTGCGACTGCACCGTAGTTCTCTGTCTCCCCCTTAGTTCTACTACTGACTGATACTACATGCAGTTCCGATAATGTCATATTCCACGGTGCTTCCCTGTCTCTTCTCGGTTATCGAAGAAGTACCATCACTAGGTGACATCATCAGTTATCGCCATCGTACCTTGAACTATTTTGAACCCGCTGTGCGAAGCGCGTTTTAATTTACCTATCTGTTCATGTTAAGGCTTTTGATTAACTTTGATTAGCCTATTTGAAGTACGAAAGACAGTCTAATCTTATGTCAATCCCACAGAGCAGTCCTAAACACTGTCTCTGATAGACCCGCGTACTTTAAGTACAGTTTATTGTGACATCAAGCATCCATCATGTGCAGTCGATCATACCACTCACGTCTCCATTCACTCGAGAACATCTATCTGTTGCGCTCTTTTTCATGGTGTTCACCGAGCACTGCCTTCACGTTTTATCCTGCTTCACATTCTTCTGCTGTATTCTTTCCCCCTCATATTAACTCCTCGGTTTGTTGCATTGTTGACCCGGCATCGCGGTGGCTTCTGTGACACAAAAATACTTTTTTTAACGCACAGAACACCACTGTGTTCATTGAGTGGCTCAATGTTGACTACGCGATGGCGCTTTCAGATAGGTAAGCACAGATGCGCGGTGGATCCACTTGCCAAAGCGCTCCCTTTCGAGATAACGATTCATACCGATTGTTAGAAACGAGGAGGAAGCAACTGGAGCACCTGGATGGATAGTTAGAAAACACGTAATAATGATCGCGATGAAATTTTAGTACATTGATGCAAGTAACTGAACAGGGGATTGCATCAGCAGTACGCTGGTGCGCCGTACTGACACTTTCTTGCCACGCAACCACCACCACTTGCATCTGGGCTAAAGATACTGCGAGGATTACCCAGTCCTCTGTGTATACTCGGACTTGCGATCTCCACGCTTGCCATTTCAGCCGGTTGCTGACAACTAGCCGAATGCACGAGCTCCGAACAAGTTTCCAACTACTGATGGGGATTTCTTCAATTCTCTTATCTACGAGGACGGTACGCAGCAGCATAAATGAGTCTCGCGATTAATTTATTCATCCCTTTGAGCCACGTCACATACTGGACACCTCAGTATGGCTACTGTGCATGCAGCGCACTCGCGCACTGCAACCGTGGGAGGCACTAAGCTGCCACACGGCGGACATGAAGGTAGTCAACGAAAGAACACACTCCTATGAGGCTCCGGATGGCTTATTAAACAACTCAACAGTTGGACCTCAGTATTGCTCACCAGGTGTTCGCACAAGATGTGAGCAATGTCCCGCAAGTATCGGTGATCAAACTCGGCCAATCTTTGCATGTCTTCAGATCGAACAATACTTAAATTTACGCACTTTGGTTGGGATTTCTCACTGCAGATAACAACATAATCTAATTCGGTTAGCCGTAGAGCGCGATTTTGCATCGCGAAAAATTTTGTCTGTGACTCCACGGACTTGATACATTCTACAAACTTTACCCTACTCACAAACATCCAAATTACTCTACTATCGCCCATTGGACATTCGAAGGACAGGTACTTCAGCCCATTGGGAAGTGACGGTTGAGTGAGCCAATCTGCAACACCAGGACAGGTACTGTGAGCCCATTGGCAATACGTCGCGCACCAAGCAGAAGTCATGTGTTAAAATTTGCGCACCTAATCGTCAGCCCTTGGTAGCTCAGTGGTAGAGCAGCGGACCGGAAATTCGTGGACCGGGGTTCGATTCCCCGTCGAGGCACATTATTGTGCGTGAATTTTAATCGTGACTTCTACTTTCTACCAACTTTACCCTGCTCACAAACATCCAAATTACATCTAGATTTCCCTGTTGTTGCGTTGCGATGCATGCAGAGGCATCAGTCACACGGGTACATCGCGATCTGTTTTTCGTAGCAGCGTTTGCGCACTGGGCTTGTTCTCACAAACACACGATGTGATTTTGATATGTGTTATAAATATGGCTGCAGTTGCAAACAAAAGCGACATTCAGAGCGCGACAGTACTGTTGTAGGCAGTGGCGCTTGTCTACCGATCGGGCAGTACTTCGGCTTCCTAGAAATTTGCGCGTTGACAAGCGTTTTATAGTTAACGCTCGTTCGACGAGTGTTATGGTGCTTTCTGATAAACCAGTTGCAACTATCAATCAGAGTATCGTCATCTTGCGCTCTTACCAATGTAAGAGCACTCTATGGAATGAATCATAAGCACTCGAAAATGTGCTTAATGTGCGCGTGCATTTCCTTGAAACCGGTGCGACGGTGGTGTATGCTAGACAATCACGTAGTAGTAGATTTACTGACTGGCACAGGTAAGTCCAAGTTAAATAAGAGTAAGCGTCGAGAATTGTGGGCAGTAGATGCAAAAGAGCGGGGCATCGAATCAGTGCGACTGCACGGCAGTGCAATGTCTCTGACCCTATTGGTTCTTCTACTGGCTCACATCATATATAGTCCCGATAATGTCATATCCCACGGTGTTTTCTTGTCATTTGTATTCTCGATCATCAAAACATCACCATCTCTCTGGATGACGTCATCAGTAATCACCATCGTGTGGGACACGCGAACCGATTGCTATCTTGAATTACCTTGAATGTGCTGTTCGAAGGACGCTCTAATTTGCATATCCTTCCATGTTATGGCGCCTGATTGGTGAATAAACTTCGCTTAGCCTATTTAAGCACCAAGGCCGGTTCTATCTGATTATCATTTACAAAGGAGTCTTAACGGTTCTAAGCATCGTTTCTGAGGGTTCCGGGCGCTTGGAAAAGCCGTTTGCTGTGGCAACATGCGTCCATCATATGCCATTCATCTTAACACCCATGTCCATTCGTTCTTGTTCGTGGCCTTCATCGAGCACTTCTTTCGCGTCTTATCCCTTCGCACAATCACCTGTTGCATTTTGTCCTCCTTCTTGTATTAATTCTCCGTTTTAGTCTACTGTCGACCCAACGCTGTTTTGTTTCCCATTCCTCCCACAGCAGGGGGCTCCTGACGCAGGTGTACTTCTTTTTAGCCCACCCAACACCACTGTGTTCCTTGAGTGGTTCACTGTTCATTATGCGATAATACTTGCAGAGAATTAGGCACCGGGGCGCGGTGGATCCACTTGCCACAGCGCGGCACTTCGAGATAACGATAGACAAGGATGCTTAGAAAAGAGGTGGAAGCAAATGGAGTACCGGGATGGATTGCTAAAAACCACAGGTAAGGATGATCTGGATGGGATATTAATAGCTTGATGCAAGTAACCGCATGGAAAATTGCAGCAGCAGTACGCCGTACTGACGCTTCGCTGCCACGCAACTACCACCAGTTCCGGGAACACCATGATCACGAATTGCTCTTTCGTCTTTTTGCGGACGATATTCTCCTGGATCTTTTTAGGGGATGTTGGAGAATGTACGCGCGTCGCGTAACTAATCACGAAGACGGTGAGCTGACAAGAAAACGGTCTCCGCTTCTCCACCCGACTGAAATGTCACAGTGATTCGCCATGGTGGACTGAGCTTGGCTGGTGTACGATGCGAAGCAAACTAGCCTGTTTCCCATAGCTTCCCATTGGTTGGTATCTGGATTTTTATTGTTCTAGCTTTTCCATTTGTTTGTCTTAGATATAGTTCACCCTCGACTCAGGTACTCTTAGGCGTATAATTTTCATGGTGTTCTGCGTCTTCCTAGTGTCCATATTCCTAGATGATAGAGTGGTTGCTTTTATGGAGGCGTGTAGTTGGGCTTCGCGGAGGCGCATTGGTATTCGTGCGTTTCTGCCGCTTTTTAGAGTTTTCACAGTGGCGACCGCTAAGCTTGTTTTAGTTCTGCCTAGCTTGGTGACGGATACATATGTTTTCAGGCTTACGGTCTTGTTGGATAAGCATGAATGCAATGAAGTATCATGTGCCACAGACACATCTCCAGGAAAAATCACTATCTTCTAGTTTGGGTCCTCGGGGGTTGGTAGACCCTGTAGCCTGCGTTTTGATTATTCTCCTGGTTGGAGTTGCTGTATTTACGCTGTGAACTATGCACTTGTTTTGGCGACTCCTTTCCAAGCTTGAGCTTAAATTTAGACGACAAAACTCTGTTCTGCTACAGCTGATTCCAACGCGGCCGCTATGCCAACGGACGCACAGTGCACAATCGCTGTTTGTTTGCCACATTTCCGTATCAACACGGCGATGTACCTTCGGCTGTGTTCTGTCCTCCTCCTCTCCGGTTTGCCTCGGTAACATCCTGTTTGCCCATTGCTCCCACAACGGTGGCTCCTTGCACAAATGTACTTTCTTTTAGCGCACTGAACACCACTGTGTTCACTGAGTGGCTCATTGTTCATTATGCGATGGTACTTGCAGAGAATTAGGCGCCCAGGTGTAGTGGATCCGTTTGCTACATTCCGTGTCTTCAAAAGAACGATAAATAACGATACTTAGAAATGATTTGAGGTGCAAATGGAGTACGAGGGCGGATAGCTAAGAAACACACCTAATAATTATCATGGTGAAATATTAGTAAACGTAAAGCTAGTTCCCACTTGTTGGTTTATTGTGATACAGATGGATTTGAAACTTCATCTGAGCAGCGGTCAATGTGATAGGGCCATATACAGTCTTGTTTATTACAGTTCATCTAAAATACGTTAATGTGACTACATTTTCAATTTCCCCAGCGGTCAGTGTACAACGATTCTGCGTCATGAAATAGTTAATTCCTCGAGGTTTTACCTGACTGAACGTCTTGCTCTCTGTTTTAGATCAGCGAGATCACACATGCGAATACTGTGGAAAATCGTTTTCCTTATCGGTCTACCTTGGGGCCCACGTAAGAACTGTTCATTTGAGTAAGTGCGACGCTGGGTGCATCATCAAACTGTCCTGTTTCGCGATCTATTTTTACCTGCAGTAATATACATCCAACCTTTGTGTAATTATCAGCGTTTTTCCGTGGATTGGTTCAAGTCAAGCCAAATATCCTTTTTCCCCTCACTTGGGCACAATCAATCATTTGGCACTATCAATGCGGAAAAATACTCAGCAAAAGCGAATGGCGAGAGCCATATGGTTCATAGGTTGTTCTATCTAGTGTATAGCAAGCCACAACCCCTCTACCGCCTTGTGTACCTCTAGTATGCGTGAATGAATGCTGATACTGCACATGTTGAAGCGGTGTGTGCGGGCTCCGTTGAAGAAACCTAGCTCCCATCCACATGCTTTTTGGTCTTGTTTCTTCGGGCTTACACCGAATGGAACCGTGAGTGGTGCGGCGCAGGCTGCCCAGGGTAGCTCTGTAGGCGAAGACCTACTTTGGCCGTCGCATGAGGGCCGCACCTACACGTACTTCCGGAATCAGGCGCCGCCATCCTTGTACACAATACCCTCGATATTTCAAGTTCCACCTCGTTTTCATCTTTTGCTTTCCGCCTACTCATTGCTGCTTGGAGAGATGTTGGAGCTTTGCCTCCACCGCGTACTTAGGATTGGATAGTACTTGCGCATTTTTCTCAATTTCACTCACTGTATAATTGGTGTCTTCTTTTTCATGCTTTTCCGCATTAATCTCAGTTGCTGTCTTATTGCACCATCGAAAATTCCGCACGGTTTGCAGCCCTGATGACCAATGCACCATAGGATGCATACGAACAACCGCTCAAATTTTCGCAGGTGCTCTTACTTAATTCTATGATTGAAATGTTATGTGGTGCATCCTGCGGTTTTCAATCAGTCTGAAAGTACTGCACATCTGTCTACGCCTTTTCTTTACTGCTGTTATTGTTGCTTAATTTTCTGTATTCACAATCACAGGAGAACAACCTTACAAATGCGGCCATTGTGGCGGAGGCTTCGTTCAGAAGGGCGCTCTGAAAAGACACATCAACGCAGTGCATTTGAGTGAGTATTTGTTGCTAGTGTTCGTGGTTTAAAATATCCAAATGTGCCTACATTTATTCGGTAGATTATCATAAATATACCGCTGCACTGGATCTCTATATCACATGGTGCTATGCATCGGATGTGACGTTGTTTGTGGTTATCATTGCGCCCATTTCAGTTTGCGTGCCCATTCGGGGTAGTTACTCCAGAAAGCCAGACTGCGCACTGTGTGAACCTGTGCTCTACGCTCTAATGATCCTGTCTTACTTATGAATGGAAGGATTTTGGTGAGTATTTTTGTTCGTCGCAATCAGCCGACAGTTCAGATATGTCGACCAGCTATCCGGAAAAGCACCAGACGGCCGTTTCGCCCTATTGGGGCTCATCAGCGGTGCGCATCCTTCGGTCCTCTGCGGAGGATCGAACCCATGACTGCTAGTGGCTCTTGCCAACTAGCCCGCAGCTTATGAAACTGCGCCATGGAGGACGGTATCCGACTATCATGAATTGGCAAGAGCCACTAGCAGTCATGGGTTCGATCCTCCGCAGGAGGACCGAAGGATGCGCACCACTGATGAGCCCCAATAGGGCGAAACGGCCGTCTGGTGCTTTTCCGGATAGCTGGTCGACATATCTGAATTGTCGGCTGATTGCGACGAGCAAAAATATCCTGTCTTACTTGTTGATGAATCGTTTACACACCGGTTGTCAGACCCGGCGAACACGTGCACGTGAGCACTCAATCTGGGATAACAGTCTTTCTCGTACTTTCGATCCTGTACCGTGTTCTGTCTTACCATCATTGATCCCCTGATAGCCGAGTTCCGTGGGACGGGCACGCTGAACTGTTTGACGTGTCATTGTGAGTCAGAACATCAACTGTCTGTCATTGTTTATGCGATTCGTTTTATCCTTGTGATGTTGATGTTCGTGTTCCCGAATATCTCTATGGAGAGGTACGGGCATCGGAATACCATTGCCCTTAGAAGGCTAGGCGTCGCTAGACGTGTGTTCATCTTGTAGTACAAATGATGTGTTAGTTGTTTTGTAGGCTGCTCTTCATCCGCTAGCCACTGTTTCGGGGTCGCCTCTCACGTCGCCGTTAATAGTGCTTCCGTTTGATCGATTTGCTGACTTTTAGTTTTAGGTTAATGTATTTTTGGGAGACCATAAAGGCGAGGAGTAGTGGAGCCTATGGGACGAAGTCGGTCGTACGTTTCTTTGGTGATGGCGCCGTCGTTCACTAGTGATTTCAAACACTTGATCAATTGATTTTCTACACATTCTGTTTTATCTTTCTGTTGTTCACATCTCACGAAACGTGAAGTGTCCGAGAGTATCATTTTCATTTTCTTGATGTAATCCGCACGATCCATCAGCACAGTCCCAGATCCTTTGTCTGGTTTGGTTATGATGAGATCTTCGTTTTTCTGAAGTTCTCTCAAAGCATCAAGGTGCGCTTTTGTCAGTAGTCGATGGTGTTCTATTGGTTGTCTTTGGTATTGAAAAGAAACGTTGACCAAAGTTGATTTGAACTGTTCAAGTTCCATATCAGAGTTGGCCACCAAGTCGTTCGTCTGCTTGAATAGGTGTTCAAACTGTGTTTCTATTTCAACACGATTGTATTTGTTTTGCGGATGGCTAAATTTTAGACCAAGTGAAAGTGCTTGCAGCTGCAGTCTGTCTAAATGAACACTAGAAAGGTTGTGCACGTATTGTTCTGGAACTGATGGAAACCTGGTTTGACCCTTTGTTTCGCTTAAGTTTTTCTGCATTTTGCATCGTTTCTTGTCTACCTGTTTAGATGTTACGCCTCTCACATAAGTAAGAAAACGGATACGTTCTTCATCGCGGAGGTTATCCAGCGCGGCTTCTGTTTGGGCAACAAGTCGTTTAGTTTCCTCTAGTCTCGTTTTATCTGATTCAATAAGGTTGAGTGCGTGCCGTTTCAAAGTAGCAGCACTGGGTCGGATGTGCTGTCTCCGCAGGGCTTTCCAGAAGGATTTTGGGTAATCTCGCGTTTCGATGCAAAGCCTGTGAAATTCAATGGATGCTTCGGTTTCGGCAAATCTCACGCAGAACTTAATATACCGATTAAGTTCCTTGCGCGTTTGGGCGCATTTGCTGTGTTTCAACTCAAGTAGAATGCCCATTTGTTACGTCAAGTTTCGAAAGATAAACAAAACACGAAGCTTTGAGCAAACAATTGTTTTCGATTACTTCTTCATCAGGCTCATACAGTAATATACATTATGTTAACGTCTGCTGAAATCGTTAGTGTAACAAAGAAACAATTGATCAGACAATTTAACTTGTGATCGTGATGGCCTTCATCTGATCACGTGACTGAGGTCAGGTGAATTTGCGGAGTACCATTACTTCCTTCACGGCTGGTGGTCGGCCAGGGAAGTTGTAGTGTTTGTATTAGTTTCTTCTGAACACACAAGTTCGGATTTGTTAGACGTATGCATATTGCCTCAGCGGTGGCGAGTATGCTTGCTCTTAGACGATGATTTTGTCTTGATGGTATTTTGTAGAGAATTTGAAAGGCTGTTCGTTTGTCTATCTGGTGACCTGTGTTTATTAGATGGTTTGTAATCGCACTGTAGTTTGTTCTATTCTCGCGCGTGTAGAGCCAACCTGGCAGGTGTTCCTTAATTCTCTTACCTAGATGCCTGGTCGTCCGTCCAACGTACCTGGCCCCGCACGGGCAGGTGAACCGGTAGATTAACATCGATTGGAGATGATCAGGCACTCGGTCTTTGAATCTCGGAACTAGTAAAGGTCTGCTCGTGTAAATCACATTCAGTTGAGCCGCATTAAAGGTCTTTTTGCAGCTTTGCTGTAGTCGGCGTGTGCATGTTTCAGCCGCACTATTTCCTTTGAATGGAAGTGTCAAGTAAAGCTGTTTCTTTTCAACGGTTTGTTTTGATACTTTTGGTATGCATCGCTTCATATGGGTCTCGATAAATCGCTCCGGATATCCATTTTCGAGAAGCGCCTCTTTGATTCGTGCGAGTTCGGCTTTTATGGTATCTTCGCTGCAGATTTTATATGCCCGATCGGTTAGCGTTCGTACCAGCGTACTGCAGCTACATGCACTTTCACTTGGTCTAAAATTTAGCCATCCACAAAACAAATACAATCGTGTTGAAATAGAAACACAGTTTGAGCACCTATTCAAGCAGACGAACGACTTGGTGGCCAACTCTGATATGGAACTTGAACAGTTCAAATCAACTTTGGTCAACGTTTCTTTTCAATACCAAAGACAACCAATAGAACACCATCGACTACTGACAAAAGCGCACCTTGATGCTTTGAGAGAACTTCAGAAAAACGAAGATCTCATCATAACCAAACCAGACAAAGGATCTGGGACTGTGCCGATGGATCGTGCGGATTACATCAAGAAAATGAAAATGATGCTCTCAGACACTTCACGTTTCGTGAGATGTGAACAACAGAAAGATAAAACAGAATGTGTAGAAAATCAATTGATCAAGTGTTTGAAATCACTAGTGAACGACGGCGCCATCACCAAAGAAACGTACGACCGACTTCGTCCCATAGGCTCCACTACTCCTCGCCTTTATGGTCTCCCAAAAATACATAAACTTTTAGTTTTCTTTCCCTCTCTGTTTCCTCTGTTAATACACCTCCGCTACACTTGTACTTTTCGAATACAATAGTTGCGTCGCGCGTCTCTCCATTAATCTTCTCATTCAACCTCCATCGCCATCCTTGGCTGGTTGCCTCAGACGTCTGACTTTGCCCAAAAGCCTCCTTACAAATGATTTGGGTTTGGTTTCCTACCTAGATCTCCAGTCAGGGATGAAAACAAATTAAGTCTGGTTCGTCACTTGCAGCGCAGTTTGATGACTTAAACCTTCACGAATGTAAATTGGTTACGGATGCATTAAATACTCCTGTTCACCGCAACGTGCGTGTTTTCCGGCATGCAACAGGA